CAACGACGGCAGCCGCCATAGCCACGCGGTGTCTGTGTACTTCGTGCGTACATGGTGTGTACTCAGTGTGTATATTACATGTGCTTCATATGTACTCAGTGTGTACATGGTGTGTACTCAGTGTGTATATTACATGTGCTTCATATGTACTCAGTGTGTACATGGTGTGTACTCAGTGTGTATATTATATATGCTTCATATGTACTCAGTGTGTACATGGTGTGTACTCAGTGTGTATATTACATGTGCTTCATATGAACTCAGCGTGTACATGGTGTGTACTCAGTGTGTATATTATATGTGCTTCATATATACTCAGTGTGTACATGTTGTATCCTCAGTGTGTATATGACATGTGCTTCATATGTACTCAGCGTGTACATGGTGTGTACTCAGTGTGTATATTATATATGCTTCATATGTACTCAGTGTGTACATGGTGTGTACTCAGTGTGTATATTATATGTGCTTCATATGTACTCAGCGTGTACATGGTGTGTACTCAGTGTGTATATTATATGTGCTTCATATGTACTCAGCGTGTACATGTTGTGTGCATCATTCCCCTCCACAGCTGCCACCTGCCCCCCCCCCCTCCCGCCCCTCGTACCGACAGGGTGCCGCTCCGGGAGATGGGTGCAGACATAATTCTTCTCTCCCTTCACGTCTCTCGCTCCGTCTCCTCCCTCCCTCCCTCATTCCCTCACTCTCACTCACTCTCTGACTCATTCTCTCACTCCTCTCTCACTCATTCCCTCACTTCCTCTCTCACTCATTCTCTCACTCTCACTCCTCTCTCACTCATTCACTCACTCTCTCTCATTCATTCTCTCACTCTCACTCCCTCTCTCACTCATTCTCTCACTCCTCTCTCACTCATTCCCTCACTCTCACTCCTCTCTCACTCATTCTATCACTCCCTCTCTCATTCATTCTCTCACTCTCACTCCCTCTCTCACTCATTCTCTCACTCCTCTCTCACTAATTCCCTCACTCTCACTCCTCTCTCACTCATTCTCTAACTCCTCTCTCACTCATTCCCTCACTCTCACTCCTCTCTCACTCATTCTCTCACTCTCACTCCCTCTCTCACTCATTCTCTCACTCCTCTCTCACTCATTCCCTCACTCTCACTCCCCTCTCACTCATTCTCTCACTCCTCTCTAATTCATTCCCTCACTCTCACTCCTCTCTCACTCATTCTCTCACTCTTTCTCACTCATTCTCTCACTCTCACTCCTCTCTCATTCATTCCCTCACTCTCACTCACTCTCTGACTAAATCTCTCACTCTCTCTCTCATTCATTCCCTCACTCTCACTCCCTCTCTCACTCATTCCCTCACTTCCTCTCTCACTCATTCTCTCACTCTCACTCCTCTCTCACTCATTCGCTCACTCCTCTCTCACTCATTCTCTCACTCCTCTCTCACTCATTCTCTGACTCTCACTCCTCTCTCACTCATTCTCTCACTCTCACTCCTCTCTCACTCATTCCCTCACTCTCACTCCTCTCTCACTCATTCTCTCACTCTCACTCCCTCTCTCAATCCTCTCTCACTCCTCTCTCACTCATTCTCTCACCCTCACTCCCTCTCTCACTCATTCTCTCACTCCTCTCTCACTCATTTTCTCACTCTCACTCCCTCTCTCACTCATTTTCTCACTCCTCTCTCACTCATTCTCTCACTCTCACTCCCTCTCTCACTCATTATCTCACTCTCACTCCTCTCTCACTCATTCTCTCACTCCTCTCTCACTCATTCTCTCACTCCTCTCTCACTCATTCTCTCACTCTCACTCCTCTCTCACTCATTCTCTCACTCTCACTCATTCCCTCACTCTCACTCCTCTCTCACTCATTCTCTCACTCTCACTCCTCTCTCACTCATTCCCTCACTCTCACTCCCTCTCTCACTCATTCTCTCACTCTCACTCCCTCTCCAACTCATTCCCTCACTCTCACTCCCTCTCTCATTCATTCCCTCACTCTCACTCCCTCTCTCACTCATTATCTCACTCTCACTCCCTCTCTCACTCATTCCCTCACTCTCACTCCCTCTCTCACTCAAATCTCTCACTCTCACTCCCTCTCTCACTCATTCCCTCACTCTCACTCCCTCTCTCACTCATTTTCTCACTCTCACTCCCTCTCTCATTCATTCCCTCACTCTCACTCCCTCTCTCACTCATTCTCTCACTCTCACTCCCTCTCTCACTCATTCTCTCACTCTCACTTCATCTCATACGCATGCACTCACTCCCTCACTCTCATTCACTTTCGCTTCCCCTTCTCTAATCGCTCTCCACACCCCTCACTCTTTCTCCCCACTCTCTCCCTCACTCCCTCTTAATCTCCCTCGCCCTCACGCAATCTCCCTCACCCACTCTCTCTTCCTACCTCCAGAACCCCCCTCCCCCTCTCTCTCTCACACTCTCTCTCTCTCACACTCTCTCACACTCTCTCTCACACTCTCTCTCTCACACTCTCTCTCTCACACTCTTTCTCTCTCACACTCTCTCTCACACTCTCTCTCTCTCACACTCTCTCCATCTCGCGTCCTCTTCGTTTCTCTTCCCCCCTCTCTCTGCGTCTCCTGCCCTCGCTCCCCATCTCGACCATCTGTCCGTCGCTCTCACTTTTCGTATCGATAGATCTGTGCCTCTCCCTCCCTCTCTCCTTACCTCTCCCCCTCTCGCTCTCCATGTCTCTCACCTCCGCTCTCTCTCCCTCGCTCTCTTGCTCTCCATTTCTCTCTCTCGCTCTCTGTCCATCGCCCTCACTCTTCGTCACAATCTCTCCACATCTATAGCCCCGTGCGTCTCCCTCCTTCTCACCCCCTACCCCACTCCCTCCATCTCCCTGGCTACGTCTCTCTCGCTCTCTCGCTCTCTCGAATCGATGCGGCTTTGTCGATGGGTTTTGCTCAGAAAATATCGACTCAATCGGGAAGGGCCCCCCTCTCTCCCCTCCCCCATGGATCAATGCCCCCCTTACCCACCCACATCCCTCCGCCCCCCCGCCCCCCGACCTGCCCCGCACCCACGGTCCACGCGCCAACCACCGCAGTGCCAAGAGAGGGCGCTCAGGTCGAGCGGCTGTCCACCTACAACATCTGTCTGGGTTCTTCACGCGCTCGGAATGCCTCGGTGTCCACCTCGAGTGATGGGTGGGTGGGTGTCCACCCACCACCCACTCACCGGGCGTGCCGTGCTGCTCGTTGTCCACCCACGCGCGCGGCCCGGGTGTCGACGCGGCGGGGAGCGCAGCCCTTGGGGCGAGCATCTGGGGCCCTTACAGCAGCGCGGCATCGATTCGAGCTCCGCGCGCCCTAATCCGCGTCTGCTGCTGCTGATGATGATGATGCTGCTGCTGATGATGCTGCTGCTTTTGACAAAGCTGCTGCTGATGATGATGCTGCTGCTTTTGACAAAGCTGCTGCTGATGATGATGCTGCTGATGACAATACAGCTGATGCTGCTAATGATGATGCTGCTGCTGATGACAAAGCTGCTGCGATTGATGATGCTGATGGTGCTGCTGATGGTGATGCTGCTGATGCCGATGACGATGCTGCTAATGGCAAAGCTGCTGCTGATGATGATGATGATGCTGCTGATGATGCGGCTGCTGATGCTGCTGCTTCTGATGATGATTCTTGATCCGGCTGCTAATGCCGATGCTGCTGATGCTGATGGTGCTCCTGATGATGATCCTGTTGATAATGATGATGCTGCTGCTGATGATGCCAATAAAATATAAACCGGGACAGTCTGCTCTTCTCAGAGCTCAAAGAAGGGAGATATTCACCTCTGAGATGAGAACGCATGAGTGAGACTCCACCTTCGGCCCAGCTACCAATGAATGAAGTTCCGCTTTGCCAAGGGCATCAATCGGCCCCGATCGGCTCCGGTCTCAGCAGCTCCAGCGGGGTTGAGCCTCGTCAGTCACTGGGATGGGTGACCAACTCCACCGGGAGGTGCGGTGCTGAGCGGCGCCCCCTCGTGTGCAGCAGCGCGGCGCTGGGGTCTCGGTCTCCTCCGAACATCACGGAAGTGAACCCCTCGCCTCTCGGGGAACGCATGGCCACACGTCCCAGCGCAGCGGCAACAGCAGCAGCAGCAGCAGAACCCTCCTGACAAGGTGTCCTGAGACTCGGCAAGGTTTTTTTTCTTTGGTTAAATAACTGTACAGGGCGTTGTCATTCATAGTTGTGTGATAGTTATTTATTGGTATTTATAGTGGGGGTTAACCCCCCCCGATCCACCCCTTCTCCCTCCCCATCCACCCCCAACCCTCACCCATGACCCCGTGAGTAACGCAATAGACAAGCAGGTAGCTGAACGCCTCCTCCTCCTCCTTGCGGCTGCGTGCGTGTTTCCACATAACGCACGTGCTCGCACACTGCCGATCGGGTCACACGCGGACCGGTTTCGACATTCAACGTCTCATCAGCAGAGTTGAACTGCCTGCCCCAGTGTGTGTTGGCACCGACCCTCTCTGTTAGACGCTGCACTCTGCAATGCACATCGCAGATTCGTCACCGGCGTCGTTATGGAGAAAATCAGCAGGATCATCAATGCGCAGTCAATCCGCATCTGCCTTTCCTTCCTTGCTTCCCATATACCTTCCTCCAGGCGATAAACACAACGCGCCTCTACGCATCCCATCAGCCACACAACCCCCTTCTCTCCGGGGAGTGCGTCATTTCAGCAGCGCTGGTTCCAACACGGGCACAAGCTCTGGACCGGTTTCGACATTCAGCGTCTCATCGACAGAGTCAGAGGCCTGCTACCCTTTAGGACGAGTGGGGGGGGGGGTCCAATGGAGGGGGTGGGGGGGACGCGGGTTGAGGGTCCTGTGGGGGGGGGTGGGGAGAGAGGGGAAGGGGGGCTCCTCTAGGGGGAGGGGTGATTGGGGGTCCTGTGTGGGGGGGAGAGGGGAGGGGTGGTTGTGGTACGGGGGATGGGGAAGCCGATCCGCGCGATTGAATTTGCGAGCGCGGTGACGTCACGGCGGCGGAGCGCGCGGGGTCTCAGTGCCCGGGATGAGCGAGGGAGGCGCGCATCGCTCTCCCCGCACTCTCCCCGCACTCTCCCCACACTCTCCCCGCACTCTCCCCACGCTCTCGCAAGCACTGCCGCCGCCTCCGCGCTCTCCCCTCATCGCTCTCCATCATGGATGTATACCAACAACAACAACAACAAGAATAATAACAACAACAACAATCACAGACAGGACTGGTACGGCGCAGCAGCAGCAAGAAGAGGAGGAGGCGGAGGGATGAACCCCGAGATTCTCATCGATGCCATGGGCGACATCCACCACGAGCAGACGCAGCCCGGAGCACTGATGAGCGCCGCGCACAGCCCTCACCACCGCCACCCGCAGCAGCCGCCCTACGAGCTGCCCGCCCCGGGCCGCGCCTCCATGGTGCCCGGCATGGTGGCCTCGATGCTGGACGGGAGCGAATACCGCGGGGAGCATGGACTGCACCCGGCCATCTCCATGGGCTGCGAGTCCCCGCCCGGCATCAGCTTGAGCATGAGCGGCGGCGGCGGCGGCGGGGGGGGCGGCGGCGGCGGCGGCGCCGCTGGCGGCGGTGGCGGCGGCACCTACGCCACTCTGACCCCGCTGCAGCCTCTCCCACCCATCTCGACCGTGTCGGACAAATTCCACCACCACCACCATCACCACCACCAGCACCACCACCAGCAGCAGCAACAGCAGCAGCAGCGGCTGGCGCACAACCTCAGCGGATCGTTCACGCTCATGCGCGACGATCGGACTCCTCTGCCGGCCACCGTCAACAGCATCTACGGGCACTACCACAAGGAGATGGCGGCCATGGGATCGGCTCTTCCTCCGCCGCCGCCGCTCGCCTGCTCGGGCATCGGCAACGGCCTCACGGCCATGCACGCGGCCCAGCAGCCGCTGTCGGCCTACGGCCACCCGCCGGGCGCAGCGCTGTGCGGAGGGGACAAGATGCTCGCGACGCACGGAGGCTTCGATGGACACGCGGCCATGCTGAGCCGCGCGGATCAGTCGCTGGGACGCGGCCTCGCATCTCCCACCGCGGGGATGATGTCCCTGAACGGGATGCAAACTCATCCTCACCACCCACACCCCCACCACCACCACCCGCACCATCCTCACCACCACCCTCACCACCACCATCACCACCACCACCACGGGGCCATGCTGGCCGCCAGAGGCGGGCTGGGGGACCGCGGCATCATGGGCGGTGGAGGCCACATGGGAGGTGGAGGCGGCGGTGGAGGTGGTGGAGGTGGTGGTGGTGGTGGAAGCCATCATGGTGGACAGGCGGAGGAGATCAACACGAGGGAGGTGGCGCAACGGATCAGCACGGAGCTGAAGCGGTACAGCATCCCGCAGGCTGTGTTCGCGCAACGGGTGCTGTGCCGCTCGCAGGGCACGCTGTCCGACCTTCTGCGCAACCCCAAGCCGTGGAGCAAACTGAAGTCGGGCCGCGAGACGTTCCGGCGCATGTGGAAGTGGCTCCAGGAGCCCGAGTTCCAGAGGATGTCAGCGCTCAGACTGGCGGGTGAGGAGGGACGCAAGTGCGTGCGTGTGTGTGACCAGCAAACCTGTGTGTGAGCAGACCTGTGTGTGTGTGTGAGCAGACCTGTGTGTGTGTGAGCAGACTTGTGTGTGTGTGTGAGCAGACCTGTGTGTGTGTGAGCAGACTTGTGTGTGTGTGTGAGCAGACCTGTGTGTGAGCAGACCTGTGTGTGAGCAGACCTGTGTGTGTGTGAGCAAACCTGTGTGTGTGTGAGCAGACCTGTGTGTGAGCAGACCTGTGTGTGTGTGTGAGCAGACCTGTGTGTGTGTGAGCAGACTTGTGTGTGTGTGTGAGCAGACCTGTGTGTGAGCAGACCTGTGTGTGAGCAGACCTGTGTGTGTGTGTGAGCAGCAAACCTGTGTGTGTGAGCAGCAAACCTGTGTATGAGCAGACCTGTGTGTGTGTGTGAGCAGCAAATCTGTGTGTGTGTGAGCAGACCTGTGTGTGTGTGAGCAGCAAATCTGTGTGTGTGTGAGCAGACCTGTGTGTGTGTGAGCAGCAAACCTGTGTGAGCAGACCTGTGTGTGTGTGTGAGCAGAAAACCTGTGTGTGTGTGTGAGCAGACCTGTGGGTGTGTGAGCAAACCTGTGTGTGTGTGAGCAGGCGTGTGTGTGTGTGAGCAGACCTGTGTGTGTGTGTGAGCAGACCTGTGTGTGTGAGTAGACGTGTGTGTGTGAGCAGACCTGTGTGTGTTTGTGAGCAGACCTGTGTGTGTGTGAGTAGACGTGTGTGTGTGAGCAGACCTGTGTGTGTTTGTGAGCAGACCTGTGTGTGTGTGAGCAGACGCGTGTGTGTGTATGAGCAGGCTTGTGTGTGTGTGTGAGCAGACGTGTCTGTATGTGTGAGCAGACCTGTGTGTGAGTGTAGACCTGTGTGTGTGTGAGCAGACCTGTGTGTGTGTATGAGCAGACCTGTGCGTATGAGCAGACCTGTGTGTATGAGCAGACCTGTGTGTGTGTGTGAGCAGACCTGTGTGTGTGTGTGAGCAGACCTGTGTGTGTGTGAGCAGACCTGTGTGTATGTGAGCAGACCTGTGTGTGTGTGAGCAGACCTGTGTGTGTGTGAGCAGACTTGTGTGTGAGCAGACCTGTGTGTGTGAGCATACCTGTGTGTGTGTGAGCATACCTGTGTGTGTGAGCATACCTGTGTGTGTGAGCAGACCTGTGTGTGTGAGCAGACCTGTGTGTGTGAGCAGACCTGTGTGTGTGTGAGAGCAGACTTGTGTGTGAGCAGACCTGTGTGTGTGTGTGAGCAGACTTGTGTGTGTGTGAGAGCAGACCTGTGTGTGTGACTAGACCTGTGTGTGTGTGTGTGTGCAGACCTGTGTGTGTGTGTGTGCGGCGTGAAAGAGCAGATATTTTTGTGCGTGAGATGAAGTGTGTGTATGTCTGTGTGTCTGTGATGAGCGGTCGTGTAGCGGTTAGCGTGCTGCGCTACGAACGCGGCGAGTGACGATTATCTGAATCGTTCCTGGGCCTCCCCTAGGTCGACTCAGCCTCAAATGAGTACCTGGTGCAGTGTGTAAACATTGCAACGAGGGAGACAAAGGCGGCCGGACCTGTTGCTGGCCACCCACCCCATCGTGTGTCGTGTGGGCCTTCATAGGTACTCGCTAACAGCACTTGCCCCGACAGTCTGTTAAGGCTATATCTGGGGGATCTGTGTTTGATCTTTGTGTGTCTGTGTGAGCAGATCTGTGCATGTATGTGTGTGTGCGATCAAGTGTGTGTGAGCAAGTCTTTGTGTGTGCAAGTGAGTGTGTTTATATATACGTGCTAACTGCACTTGTCCCAAAAGTATGTTAAGATTATACGGGAATCTTTTTCTTTGTGTGTAGATGTGTGTGTTCGTGTCTCTGTACACGTTTGCGTGAGCGAGTGTATGTGGCCTTTAAAGGTGCTCGTTAATAGCACTTGCCCCAAAAGTCCGTTAAGGCTATACCGGGGATTTTTGTCTTTCCGCGCGTTTGTATGCATATGTGAGCATTTGTTTGCGTGTGTGTGTTCATGCCTATGGGGAGCGGTAGTGTAGCGGTTACAGCGCTGTGCTACGAATTTGGCTTCCTAAGTTTGATTCCCGCTCACGGCCAACACCAGTGACTATTATCTGAAGCGGTCCTGGGCCTCCTTCAGGTCGACTCAGCTTTAAATGAGTACCTGGTGTGATGTGTAAACGTCGTCACTGGGGAGACAAAGGCGGCTGGGCGTGGTGCCTCGTGTGCTGCGCCGACTTTCACAAGTGCTCATCGCTAACAGCACTTGCCTCAAAAAGTATGTTAAGGAAACAAGGAATCTTTGTCTTTGCCTTAACACGAATACTCATGCGTCGTAGAGGTGTGTGTCGAGCATGGGCCCATACCCGCCAGAGAGGGTCCGTGTCAATAATCCAAACCTCTGGGCACTTCGCCTGACTCTGTCGCTCATGAGACACGGGGAGTTGGACGCCGGGGAGCAGACTTTGCCGCTGTGTTGAACCAATGCGGCTGCATTAATAGCACTCTCAGAAGGAGAGCCGCGTAGCTGATGGGATGAGTGGTGGACAACGATCGTGTTCTGTATGTGGAGGGACGGGCCTACCTCGAGAGGAGCTCGCTAATAGCACCCCCACCACGAAGGCGGGCGGGTGGGTGGGCAACACCACGCCCGACCGCCTTTGTCTCCCCAGTGATGGTAATCATGAAGCTCAGTCGACGTCAAGGGAGGCGCGGAAATGGTTCTGATGGTCGCCGCCACGTCGCAACTACTGTGGTCGCAAATGAATGAGTGAAGGAATGGAAGTTTTTGCGATTTATTGAATGGTGAATGAAATGTCCGCGATTGGTTGCGTAAAATGAATGAAAGTGCCGCTTTAATGAGTGAATGAATGAAAATGCCGCGAATGAATGAGTGAATAAAAATAGTGCTGCGATTTAATGAGTGAGTGAATGAAGGTTACATGATTGAATGAGTGAATGAGGGAAAGGGCTGTGATTGAATGAGTGTGAATGAAAATTCGGCGAATGAATCAATAATTAAATTTTGATTTAAAGCTTTCGTGACTGCAGGGATTCATATCTTGTTTAATATTTTTATTATTTTGTTTCCCTTCTACGTGACTTTACCGAAAGAACCAAGAATATGAATTAATAATTAACTCATTGGACATCGGCATTTTCAAAGTCCCGTACCGCGATTAAAGCAGTGTGCGGAGAAAAAACTCTGCAATGTAATGAGTGCACAAATGAAGGAAAGTGTCGAGATTGAATGAGTGCGTGCATGAATAAAATTTCCGTTATTTGATTGATAATTGAATGAAAGCATCCGCGGTTGAATGAGTGAATGCATTTAATTGCCGTGATTTCATGAGCGACAGTTCCGCGATTTACCGAGTGAATGAACGAAAGTACCGTGATTTGAATGAGTAAAAGAATGAAGAGTTACGTGATTGATAGGAGCGAGAGTGTGAGAGTAGTCTCGCGGGCTGACTCGCAACGGCGCGAATGCCGTTCCCGTCACCGCGAATCGCGGTCTAGGCTGTAGCGCTAGGGCTGTAGCGTTAGGGCTGGCGTTATAACGTGAGTGCGTTCGTACACTAGGACTGTAGCGTTAGGGCTGGCATTATAACGTGAGTGCATTAGTACACTAGGGCTGTAGCGTTAGGGCTGGTGCTATAACGTGAGCGCGTTAGTACGCTAGGGCTGTAGCGTTAGGGCTGGTGTTATAACGTGAGTGCGTTAGTACACTAGGGATGTAGCGTTAGGGCTGGCATTATAACGTGAGTGCGTTAGTACGATAGGGCTGTAGCGTTAGGGCTGGCGTTATAACGTGAGTGCGTTAGTACGCTAGGGCTGTAGCGTTAGGGCTGGTGTTATAACGTGAGTGCGTTAGTACGCTAGGGCTGTAGCGTTAGGGCTGGTACTATAACGTGAGTGCGTTAGTACACTAGGGCTGTAGCGTTAGGGCTGGTGTTATAACGTGAGTGCGATAGTACACTAGGGCTGTAGCGTTAGGGCTGGTGTTATAACGTGAGTACGTTAGTACACTAGGGCTGTAGCGTTAGGGCTGGTGTTATAACGTGAGTACGTTAGTACGCTAGGGCTGTAGCGTTAGGGCTGGCGTTATAACGTGAGTGCGTTAGTACGATAGGGCTGTAGCGTTAGGGCTGACGTTATAACGTGAGTGCGTTAGTGCGCTAGGGCTGTAGCGTTAGGGCTGGTGTTATAACGTGAGTGCGTTAGTACACTAGGGCTGTAGCGTTAGGGCTGGTGTTATAACGTGAGTGCGTTAGCACACTAGGGCTGTAGCGTTAAGGCTGGTGTTACAACGTGAGTGCGTTAGTACGCTAGGGCTGTAGCGTTAAGGCTGGTGTTATAACGTGAGTGCGTTAGTACGCTAGGGCTGTAGCGTTAAGGCTGGTGTTATAACGTGAGTGCGTTAGTACGCTAGGGCTGTAGCGTTAGGGCTGGTGTTATAACGTGAGCGCGTTAGTACGCTAGGGCTGTAGCGTTAAGGCTGGTGTTTTAACGTGAGTGCGTTAGCACACTAGGGCTGTAGCGTTAGGGCTGGTGTTATAACGTGAGTGCGTAGTACGCTAGGGCTGTAGCGTTAGGGCTGGTGTTATAACGTGAGTGCGTTAGTACGCTAGGGCTGTAGCGTTAAGGCTGGTGTTACAACGTGAGTGCGTTAGTACACTAGGGCTGTAGCGTTAGGGCTGGTGTTATAACGTGAGTGCGTTAGTACACTAGGGCTGTAGCGTTAGGGCTGGTGTTATAACGTGAGTGCGTTAGTACGTTAGGGTTGTAGCGTTAGGGCTGGTGTGAGCGTAATTGTGTCATAAGTATGCTTAGGTCTGGCGGGAGTGCGTTAGTGCGCTCGGACTGTCGCGTTCGGGCTGGCGTTATAACACGAGCGCTATCGTTGGGGGCTGTGGGGGCTGGGGCGGGTGACTGTAGCACGTGACCCGGGTTTGGGTTGCAGTGCCCAGGCGATTGTTGGGCTGGAGTC